TATATATATATATATATATATATATATATATATATATATATATATATATAGAAAAACATTGCAACAATCAGGTTTGCAGTGGGAGCCTGTTTGGAGCACTCGAATTAAATGACTTGCATGATAAAGAGAGTGAACTACAATTGAATATCAACTAAAAACCTAGTCTAGTCAATGTACAGTGAAGTGCCACATCTGCAAGCATACTACTGTACTAGTTACACCAATGGTTTGTGCCAAGAACAAATTTTATGAAATTTGTTTCTTTAAAATGGCTAATGGCTATGCACAATTTGCTAGGTTGGCTTCTTCAATGTCGAATCTTATGAATTATGCAATATTTTTTAACATTATCATCATATTTGACTTGGTTTCATTTGGTCCCCTGGACCAAAGTAGGGATGAGTCACTAGTGGAAATTATATAATTTGTCAACTTTGAATAATTAGAAATGGTGTATTGGAGCCTTCAGTTATCTTAGTGTGATTAATTATGTTTACAATTTTGCCCCCTCGACGATGCTTTTTCTCCCTTTTCTCCTTGTGACATTACTTGTGTGCCAATTGTTTCTAGCTATATGTCAAATAAGCCTCTAATTTTCGTTTTATGTTAATATTTTTACATTGAAGATGATCAAAAGCAGTTCATATCTTTCTCTATCAATTTTTATGGTCAACATGTTCATGCCACCGACTTGCTGCTCTTGAAGTAGCATCTATGCTGCTTGCTCTTTCTAGGAATACTACGAGTTCCCTTTTCGGGAGATAAGTCTTCAAGTGATTAAATTTAGACTTTGTTAAATCATCAAAACGACTTCCACAAATTCATCAATAGTAAAAACATCTTGGTAATGAATCAAAAGGGCCCTGATGACATGAAAAAGATCTACTATTGATACACATGAAATTGGCCATCCTTTTCATGGCTATGGCATGTTTTCACTGACAGATCTTTTTCTTTCAAAACATTATTTTCAGGCACCGATGCATACCTACATTTGTCTCGACTGGGAGACTCACAAGAACCACTGCCATAAGGTGAACAGCCTCTCCTCTTCTCTTCTGTTCATGCTTATTAAGAAGCTGCATGCAGTTCTTGAATGGTGTAGCATGAATAAGATTATATCAGCTTTTTCCCATCGAACAAATCAGCATCATCCTCTTGGTAACTCACCGATCCTTATCGTCTACTTTACAGATGATTGCCGTATGATTTCCTCAGACCAGCTGTGCCACGGCAGGAAGAACAGTTGTAGATAAATATCCTCATCCTTGCTTAAGATTGGTTTTGATTTCTATTTTCCTCGCTTCGGATGATTGCCCACACGTAGAAGAGCTCTGGACATACATTTCATGATTGATTCAGCACGGGGAATCAGAAAATTGTGGCTGGGTTCATCTTTCAGGTTGTGCCTTTTGTGCCTGTTTGCAAAATGACCCATCACCGGAGATGTTTTCCAGGTTTGCTACTTCCGATCTCATAGCACCCACCATAAGAGAGGATGCTGGAAGAATTCATCTTGATGAGCGGCTTTGTCAGCTGCGCTTCCTAACGGCTGTGGTACGATAACATTGATTTGAATTTGAATCACAAAAAATACTCTCTCTATTTTTATTTTATGAGTTAATATTTAAAAATAATATTATAATAAAAATAGTGAAAGCTGTTTTCTTAATAATCATTTATAATTATAAAAATCTTTAATAACAAATAAAAATCAATGTTTATTTCAGATTTTTCAGAATTCAAACCGTGTGAATCGGGTCGGTCCGTTTTCGTAATTACGATTTCGAAAGTTTGACTTCGTCAATGCATCGGTCTCCACAATAAATTTCCCAAGGAAGACTCGAATGTATTCATCAAATTTAGAGATTTATATTAACAAAATAAAAAATTATAATATATTTTTATTACATTTTATGAGCTTCAAAGCCTTCGACATTATTTGCTGTTATATAAACAAAATATATCATTTAAATATAATTTATGATGTGATTGGTATGTGTGAATTGAAAGACCATTTCGAGTCTTCTAGTCTTCCGGTTTTAATCCACCCCAGTCCGCAAGGCCACGACTTCGCCTCCCTTCCGAGTTCTTCCTTCCCGTACGCGCACGCGTCGTCGCTCTTCCACTCCAGCAGACGGCAAACGTACGTCTTCATGACGTGGACCCGTGTCAACTGTCGTGGGCCCCGGCCAACGGGAGAAATTTGTTGGGTCTGAGGCATGTTTCGTACTCGGTAGAAACAGATGGTCTAAGAGTCAATACTCTGTTTCGAGTCGTCGTCCGCCGCCTATAAAGGGCAACTTTGGACTTGCGGAGACGAGACCGGCAGAGGCCAAAGGGGGCAAGGGGTGTCTTCCCCGTTCCTGCTATTGCCACCGCGATCTGCGCACCCTCGCCGCTCTCGGAATCCTAGACTCACCGCAGGCGCGGCGATCGGAAGATAAAGAAGGGAGGATAGGCGATGGGAGGCGGCGGCGATGCCGCGGCGGGGGAGTACGCGGCGGCGAAGACATCGGTGTGGTGGGACATCGAGAATTGCCAGGTCCCTAGGGCTTGCGACCCGCACCTGATTGCCCAGAACATAAGCTCCGCCCTTGCGGCGATGGGATACCGGGGCCCCGTGTTGATTTCCGCTTTCGGCGACACGAATAAGATCACGCCGTCCGTGCAACAAGCCCTCTCCAGCACCGGCATCGCCCTTAACCACGTCCCCGCCGGTAAAACTTCCGACCCTCAAGCCCTGATCCCGTCGTTGCTTTGGCGGAGCGCCATTCTTAGGGTCTTAGGTTTCTTGATTGCGCAGGAAATGCCTTTCTTGCTCCTCCTCCTTTTCCTTTTTTCAGATTCCCAGTTTTCCGCGGCTTCATTGGTTTCCTAGTCACGCTATCTCATTGCTCGTACGAATAAACTTAGTGATCGGTGTGTCCATTGGGTTCTGATGGTACTTGTAGCTTTGCATATATGCTCGTTGCCCTCCAGATGGCGTCGGTTCGGTGGGCACTTAGTTTTGTGATGCGCATCTACCAACACGCTTTTGTGTGAACATGTTTTTGACTCTTCTTGTAGAATATGACAGGATACCTAAAAGCTTCCAGAATATGACAGGTTTCTTTATGATTATGGTGTATGTTTGGAGAATTATGGAATCTTTAGTTCATGCATCTAAGAGTTAAATTACTTAGTTACTGTTGGCATATTTCATAAGGAACCTGGATTCTTATTTGAATTTGGACCATCAAACCATATGAGATAGCAAGTTACTCATTCCCTGAATGTGATATATCGGAAGTTTTCATATTTGTTCTTTTTTGTATTAGTTAATTGATAAAAAATCTTGTATTTGTGAGTACAATTGTCTAGAGTCTTTAAATAACCCTTTCTTGGCCAGTTTCTAGGCTGAAATCTTGGTGTTTTGTGTAATTAATTCAATGAATTGACATAGTTTAGCAACTGGTAGGAGGGGTACATTTTTGTTGTTTTCTTTTTCTGTAATTACTTTACCTTATTGTAGTCTGTAGTCATTGTTTCAGCTTTCATATAAGCTTTTGGTTTTGGAAAAATGCTCTAAGGGCTTCTTGTCATGCATTTGAGTTCCAGTAAATCCATCTTTTTATAATTGGGTCTGGCATTTTTGCTGATGTTGATAGTGTAACTTCTGTATTTGTTACTATATACATCCATATCAAGGTAAGGTTGAGTTTCACTGAGATTATGTTTACTTGGAGCCTAGGTGGGAGGCAGTAAATTAAAGCACACTTGGGCATCAGAATGTATTTACAAATAATCTTGAGGATAAAATAAGTTAATTATTTTTATTGTTTTGTAGTATTACTATTAATATGTAAATATCCTAGGCAGAATAATAAGGAAGAAAAAAAGAAGGAAAAAGTGTGGACATCTAATAATCTCAACTGTTGAATTATAGTATAGAGAGGAAAAAATGAAGCAGCCACATCGACTGTATATATATATATATATA